ACACGAATAGGCCATTTCTAAATAAAAACAAGTCGATTATAGGCCATTTCATATAATTTTACTGAGCTATGAGCCTGTTACGCTACTACATCGCCTTTGATTATGAGTTTTTTTTCATGTCAACGTTATTGATAGCGCGCATGTGCCAACAAGGTCGGTGGATACGTCTCTTAAAATCTTTTTGATACACATTTCCCTCGACGAGACTGTTGAAGTTATTTTTATAAACACGCCATTCGTCTAATTTCTCGGTTTCCGAATGTTTATCTTGTAACCAAGCGCCTTCGTATGACTAGGTAACGACAGACATGCCTATTTGTTTAATATATTCTTACAATTTAATATTTTCATAGTAAAAATTAAAAAAATATTATTTAACAATATGAATAACGAAGTTGATATGGTACGCACCATATCAACTTAGTTTCCGTACAAACATAGACAACTTGCAATTTATAAATCATTATTTTGTTTTATACTTGGGTAGGTAGGTAGGTATGTCTATTATTAATTACTAGGTAGCTACATAACCTTAGATTAACCACTCCATAAGTAGGTACATTAGGTATGTAGGATTATAGCTATTGGATATGACATGGGCCAGTAGTTATTTCTGATTAAAGTTATAGATTTTTTATGTTAGTCATAAATGACTAGGTGAATACTTAGTGCCTACCTATGTCTCTACTACTATTTTAGATAGATATGTAACTATTGATTGGCTATACATAAATAGGGTGGTTTGAGTTTACCTATAAGTATTTTATTCAGATATATTAATGCGTACGTCTTCAGGTTCCTATGTAATCTACAATATTTCTATTAAAATATGTTATTTATTTGTAAAGCGTATAAAACAAATTGCACATTTAAAAAAAGGCTAATTAAAATAAGAGTTAGGTATCTAAATTAAATAAAATAAAAATTATAACCTTAAATTAAATAGGCAGGTATCCTCTTGATTTAAATAAGAACTTAATAATTAAATTTAAATATAACTAAAACATAATAAATTGAATTGATCATGGTACTTATACCTATTCATATTCCGAGTATTTCCCAATGTCACATTAATTAAAATGTAGGTATTCGATCTTTTATTTTGTTCTGTTAGCTGTGGGATATTATTTATTACGCATTTTATTAATAAATATGAATAATAGAAAGATTAAAGGTCACTAAAGCTATTACCTACCTACCTATTTTAGATGAGGTATTTATATATAAGTAACACAAGGGTTTTGAGATGTTTTACAAGTCTAAAATAAATTAACTATTGTTTTTTCAACCAGATAAACCTAAGGTGATATAGTAATAGATATACCGGATGACTTCTTATGCGATGCGTAAAAATAGAATATGTAGGTAGGTATGTATAATAAATAGATTTCGTTAATTTAACTTATTTAGGTCTTTGGCTGAAAGCTGTAATACTTACTTATGATATATTGGTATATTATATTATTTAAGCAGGTGTTATATTATATTATTAAAAAAATATTAAAGTTTTCCATAGATATTACATATGTATATGTCTTTATTTAAACAGGTGTTAGATGTATGTTAAAAAATATTAAACATTTCCGTATTTCTTTAAACGATAGTTGCGATAACATACACAATTTGTACGTAGGTATTATGTAGGTACGTAGCGCAAAGTAGGTAACCTACACAACGCATATTGTCGAACTATTTACTATACCTAGGTATTATTATTATTATACCTATTCAGAGAATATATATATAATTAATAGTATTAAAAAATACTTGTTCGTAGTTCTGCACTTATTCTTTCCGAAAGTTTATTCAAAGGTATACCTACCTACCTATGTATATAAAATATATCTTCAAATATGTTTAAATATTTTAATATATTGAATTTATAGTACTAAGTAAACTATAGTAAAACGAGTATTTTTATTTTATTTTATTATTAGGATATTAATTTAATTTTCTGTCATATTTAACTTTACCTATATATACCTAGGTTAGGGATATATGTATATACCTAAGTATATATTTTCCGTTCGTAAGATATATGACCAATAAACTTGCGAATAAAAAATAATTGTGCCATTGTATGCTAAGCATACAGGCAGTTTAGCACTGTAATGGTCCTCCTTATTTGGATACTAAGTGGACCCCACAGAAGTCGGTCAAAATATTCTAAAAGCCATTAAAATTGGACCTGAATTTATTTATTATTCTAGACCTATAGGCAGTATTAAAGTCACAATACATCGTCCTAGCTATATCAACATGGAATACCTAACTAACCTAGCCTAACAAATAGTAAATACCTAAATAGTAGTTATGTATAAAAGAATGTCGCTATTAAATGCAAATGCAAATGCTTCCCAATATTACTTACCTCAATACTAATAATGTATAATAGAAATAAAAATTATCTTTATTCAAATTAACTTAAAGTATTAGTATACACTTTTGAATAGTCGAATAGATATTTTTTATTCTACGGCTCATACAGATATTATGAAAAAATCTACCATTAAAAGCGTAAAATTAACATTAGGTATATACCTAATCACTTTAATCATATCTAAAGAAAAAATATCCAGATTATTTATCTGGAATTAATAATTTTCATTTTGCTAAAAATCTCAACCTCATTTTTTCGATATTTCTGTATAAATAAAACTTATATATTGTACTTATAATAGTTAACCTGTATTCATACTTGAGGAAAACAATTTTAAACACAGTGAATCATGAGGCAGTGTCTTTTTTAAAGTGTTGCGACTTTCACAATCTATCGTTTCGCACAAAATATCTACAGTTAAAATTAAATTTGTTTATATGACTAACAGAAGTAGAGTCACAATCACAAATCACATAGAGTACCTATTTTTACGCCATTGAGGTGCGCGTATGCAGAATTGTAAATAGTTGTACCTAACACTATTTATGCATTATTCGCACCGCAACTAGAGCATGTCTCCATAGAAAAATGAAGTTTAGGTACCTACTTATGTTCTCACTAGGCAGTAATAGTCAATATGATAAAGAATGCTCACACTCACTAATTTTCTGTTTGTTATATTATTTATTATTATGAGATAACAAGTAACATGTATAATAATTATGTATCTATTTAATAATTAGGTAACATAATTTCTCTACTCATAAGATTAGGTACCTATATTAGAATAAATATTTTACCTGCCTAAGTATCTCTAACTGATATAGGTGATCTATGTACAAAAGTATCTGTTTGTTTAGATGTTTTTTTTTTTCATATACCTAATAGAGCCCAGGCCCAGTAGGCTTTTCATAGTTGAAAGAATTAAAATCATTTAAATTATTTAGTTTTTATTTTTTTATTGATATAAATAAAAAAAAATATGTTAGTGCCTCTTTAATAGGAATATTAAATAATTTAGATCTATTTCCTTATCTTTATAGATATAGTATCTATCTAGGTAGAGATGGGAGTTTGTTAGGTATGTAGGTAGTAGTAGCAAATAATGGAAGATGGCAGTTATTTGTTCAATAATAATTTTTAATAGCTTATATACCCACCTAATACCAATTCAAAATATTTAAATTAATTAATTCATTTAAAATTTCCAGGATTATTAGATATCTGTCTAAATTCATTATTAAAATAAATAATGGATACCTAAGTATTCAATTATTATTAACATATAATAATAATAATAATTTATTTTTTTCTAGTAGGTACTAACCTAATTACTTAATACCAATAATTACCTAATTAATAACATAGGTACCTAAAACGTTGAACATTTCAAAATTTATTATTTATTTATATAATAATAAGAATAATTTATTTTAACGTCAAATTAATAAGTGTGTCCATATAAAAAAAAACCTATGTATAAGTATGTGAATACGTTATTTGAACTTTTAAGCGAAATACTATTATCCACATGAACTCTTGAATAACTACCTAGTTTATTAAATATGTACCAAAATACTCATTCAACTTCCTTGTACAATAGGTAAGCTATGACTCCACATAATATAGTTATTTTAATCTGCAATTTAGTTAATACCACTTATAAATACCATCCTAAAAATCCTAAAAAAATTGTTAATCCCTATATAAGATCCGCCCTAAATGCAAGAGCCGACGGCGGCGGCGCGATTCGTAAGCGGTCGCGATTGTATAGTTTTTATTACCCCATTCATTGTTTTATAGCTCTTTTGTAGGGAAGCTGAGATACTGTAAACAATTACATAATCCCTTAGTCCACTTTAATGACTGCAAAATTAGATAATTTTTATAGTAGAAAAATAATATTATTAATAAAATTTGCACCTAAATGTTAGGATAATAGTAGATAAATTAAGATTGTGTCAATAAAAATAAAATCGGCGCATTTTATAGCATTTATATTGCCTTCGTTGAGATATATCGTATTAGTAAAGTAATAGACAGGAATTAAGTAGCTTTTTATCAGCAATAAATAAGTAGTAGCCTAATTCTGATTGGACAACCACACATTTGGTAATTGGCCTCGTTTCGTTAGGCGATTTTTATGGGGACAAATTACGACTGTATTAAGTACACAAACAGCAATAATGAGCCTATTCTTTTGTAGTGATGTAAACAAATGGACTTTGTAAATGTAGAGACCGTAACAATATATTTTATATTTCTATTTTAGATTTAAAAAGCATCAAAAATATACAGTCAGCTAAATGGGTGATATCTACTAAGCATAATCTAATTGATTAAAATATAATTTTAAATAAAATATCTTGCAATTAAGCGATATAAAATTGTGACATGCTTTCCGCGTGTAACTATCTAACAGAATATTACTGATTACCTGTCATCAGTAAGTAGACGTAGTCGATAACTTTTCAGGTAGAGACATAGAACGTAAGTTAAGCATCTATCTACTGTATATACCTAAGTATATTATTTTAATAATACATTACCTGTCTTTTCAGAAAAATAACATCAATGGCAATATTAAACACAAGCATGCAGGAAGGAGTGAAACATTTACCAGTGATGGACATCCATGGGTACCGCGGTATATCGGGCAGAGGCTGGGCGGATGGCTGCGCACATGCTGCCCCCATGGCGTCCACCGTAGCCGCGGAAGCAGCTGACGCTGCCGAGGCAGCCGCCTGGTGATAGAACTGAGCCGCTGCGGCCATGCTCGCTGACGCCGCTGATACTGCCGCTCCACCATTGTGCTGTCCCAATGCGTAGTTCACCATAGGATCACCTCCGACCGCTGTGGGGTAGCGGCAACTCTTGTCATCCGCAGCGGACAAGCCTCCGGCTGCCGAGAACGGCACCGACCCTCCGAACTGCTGGTGATGCGACACGTAAGGATACATTCTCGCCGGCGCCCCCGGTGACGCCGACGATGAGGATGATGAGCGCTGAGGGCTGCCGGCACCCGGCGAGCCTGCTCCCAATGCCGCTGCCCCCAACCCGCCAGACAGCGAGGATGACAGCGACGTCGACAGCGACGACGACAGCGAAGACGACAGCGACGCCTCTATAGGCGACGCCCCAGCACCCGCGAACAAATTCTGGTGATGGAACTGCTGGTGGTACTTTGGGAGCATGCTATCGATGATAAACTTGGAACTCATCGCTCGGCGGCGACGCGGCGCGCGACGATCGCCTCGCGGGAGATGCGTTTATCGCCGGCGATTCGGATCGATTCTCGCGCGTGCACCTCTACTATGGCCGCGGATCGTTTATGACCCGCGTATGAGGCTCTACGACTCCGAATTCCCCGTCGTGGCGAGCGTTTACCGCTGCCGCGCGCCGCTTACGAGACGGCGAAACGCGGCACGTGGGTGCGAAAGGGATGCCACCACCCTGAGGCGCGACGCGCCGGAACCCTCTCCGTCTCATTAATTCCTACCTGCGTAGCTTATATTAGAAAGAGATAAAAGCTATTCGCTAACGACCATTCTGACGGCCATTGTTCGTAATGGCGCTGAACCCCGCACTACCCCGCGCCGACCTCGTCTACGCCAATAGTGATCCGGTGCAGAACATTCACCGCCAATCACAAACCATTCCGGCACTTCTAGCTGTCAAAGTGAATGGTTTTAAGCGAAATTGCGGCATTAAGTGTAAAATAATTTTCATGTTTAGAACATATTTCCTATTTTAATTTTTTTGGAATTCTATTTTTTTTTTTAACTCGGTGTATTTCATAGTAAGTAGTGATTTTAATGAAAAGGCCTAATCAAAAATATAACGTATCCACTAAATAAAATATTTGTTATCGTAAAATAAAAAATATTTGACACAGTCATTCTTTGTTGTGTTTTGTATTTCATATTTAATACTAGTATGAAAATAAATACACAAAATTTAGTATATAATTATAAAGGTAGATAGCAAGTTTATTTATTTTTTTATTTCTATACATAAATTATAAGTAGGTAGGTCAAGCATATTTTTTCAAATGAGTTGTATTTTTATTAATCTGGCATAATAAACAAAAATAAACTATTAATGTAAAGGCATGTACCTATTTATTTTTGTGTTTTATCACAGGTTTTATTAAATATTAAATTAAATGTTTTAACCTAAAGTAATGTATGCAAAAAATGATATTTAGAATGAATTACTTTCTTTTCATCTTTACACATTTTACATAAAATTACATAGGACAAATTATACATACAAACAACAAAGTTAACAATTTATTGTAATATGTCTACCAACTTACAACAACTACAATCTAACATTAAATTTGCCAAAGACTATATAATAGTTTTATTAGTTCATCATCCTAATTATTAATCAATTATAAACAAAATTGCTCTAATAATGATAGTAGTCATGTACCTAATATAATAAATTAGTTCCTGGGCGTTATGAAAAAGGTACATATATCCACATATCTATACTTAGGTATTAGACTTATAAGTATGTCTGTGTAGGTCATTAAAATATTCTGAAGATTGAATTGGAGTAATCAGATGATATAGGTTTATAGTTTTCGAAATTAATTAATGTAAACAGTATTGTTACATTTAAACAATAAAAAAAATATAACAGCATTAATAAAAAAATTGTTCTAAATTGTTTTATGCCAGCCTCGAGGTCCGACCAGTATCGTGCGTCCCTTTTCCTTTGATGTTGCTGTCTTTGTCACCCATTTCATTCATTTTTACAAGTCGTAACCGCATTGAGCACGTGTGCCATAACAAACTTTACGACTATTAAAATAAAACCGTTTATTGACTGAAAAGTTTATTTATTTACAACACTTTTGATTGTTAGGCATGTTTAGTGCATGGTTTTTATAGGCTTAAGTTGCCTTTTCAGCTTTATCAGGTCGGTGGTACGACGGTGTGGCAGTAGAACATTGCATAAGTATAGGTTTTATGTTGTTATTGCGATGTTTTTGTCGTAAACGTATGGAATGCATGATATGGACAGTTAGGGTCATTTGTTTTACGATATGGCCATTTTTTTATTGTTTTCTAATTGTTTTTCGATCGTAAATGAAAAGGTTAATGGGATTTGAATGGTATTAATTACGCGAAGGCAACCCCTTTATACACATTACTCTTGGATTTCGCTCACTTCTTTCAACATTAATGCAAAATGAACAATGCATAGGTACTTACTTAGTTCAAAGTAAACATAGAGATACTTAATATTTTTAAATATATTAAGTATTTATTTTATTGAACCATGTAATTAAAAAAAATATCTACTGACCTACTACTAGTAACACATTGCCTAAAACTATTAACTCATTATAAACATAATGAATTTGTTAAGTTTTCATGGAAAAAATCCATTCATATCTCGATGGAATTATTGCCCACTTTTATTTTTTTAGGAATTCTTAGTTCTTTCAGAGACTAGTCCTCCGAAGGATGTCTTTTGTATCTTTGAAGTCCCCTTCAAGTACCTAGAGAGGTTCAAATGTACATTCAGTCTAGGTACTCAGGGAAGATCGCGGTTTCATTTATAAACAGCCAGCTTATAAATAAAAGATAAGTCATACTGGATGACTCATCTCATCATGATCAAAGTAATATACCTACCTTGATACATGACTTGATACCTATAGAAGTAAGAATAGATTTAAATATATCCATTTCTATCAAAAAAACCCTTCGAAGCTTTTCGTTTTCCTATTGTTATTTTACAGGTCATGAATCCTAAGTGATAAGTAGGGAGGGATTAATAATATATACCTACCTATATAATTTCTACTTAGAGTCTAGAGGTCACATTTCTAACGATATAAGTACCTATAAGCTATCAATATATTAATACCTTGGAAACCATGGTGGTTAAGTCTTCATCTAACTTTGTCAGACTATACTGAAGCCCGTTAATGTTAAACGACGTTAACGTTACACTATGGTAATGTCAAATTCTGTTAACGTAAGTAAATGCACGATTGCAGGTATTGTACAGATATCGAGGTAGAGTTCACACAAAGTCATCTATAACTGTACAAAGTTATCCATGGGCCACGGTAACCATTTACCGTCAGATGGGCCGTACGCTTATTTACCACCATCGTAGTATAAAATAAATACAGCGTGGTAGTGTTATGCATGGCGTCCTGAATAGGCATAGAGCAGTGACCACTAAATGGTGGGTTGGGTTATCAGATTAGTTACCATTCTAATTACATTGTCTCTGTCTGTTATCAGTAACACTGGATTACCCAGAATAGACTACAAATAATATATAATATAATTTTTATTCATTCACAATATGATATATTGTGAATGAAAATAGCGTCCATGATAACAGTGAGAGGCTGATAGAGCAGAGAGGCTATCCTCATATTCAATGTGATAGTACCTACATAATATTTTGTACTTATATATTTAATAGCTTAGCAGTTAATAGTGCTTTTTTAATAAATAATAATAATAATTTTATGAGAAACAAAAAGGAGAGGGGATTTTTAATAATGGATAGTATTTTAGTAATAGATATCGGTACATAATTAGTTAAGTCTACATCTTTACCTACAGCTAGGAAGATATAACTGTTGTTGAAACATTGTTCATGACTGCCTTTTAGGTACCTATTTAAGTAACTAAATATGATAACTTATACCACTTGAGTATATAATTAAGTATTTTATTTTACCAACAAAGAGTATTAAATATCTCTTCCAACAAAGTTTTTGTCTACTGTGTTATAATTAAAAATAGAAGAACGCACCAACGCCTTTACAGCAAAGAAACGCCGACAAGCCATCACACCCTGTTTTATGGGGGATCGATGTACAATGCCGGTGTAATGCAGGCCACAAAGTCTCAGGTGGGCGGGGCGAGTGTCCATCGTAAAAGTCCACGAGTCCACAGAAAATTTACAACTATCGCGCGCGAGATTTAACGAGCAGTTTATAGATCGGACGCTTTAAAATTCGATATAAACTTGGTTTGTCTCAATGAAACGTACATTGATGTGACAAATATAGTGCTATTAATCAGGACAGTTGCGTATTTTTTTTGATATAAGTATAAGTAATAGGGGTATTTAGGTCACCCACACAATTTTTCATGACGTAATATAGTGTCACAGCAGGCGTTCTTTTTATTTTTATAGACTGTCAAAACAATTTTATTAATTTCTGCAATAGGTTTTTGTCTGTGCAAAACGCAGTTCTATTTTTGTTCAGTAGAGCTTAAGATTCGAAAATAGGTTCACTAGTCACAAGATAATCTATTTTGTTTAAGGAAGTAAAAAACAGTGGTTTGGTAGTCACGTACTCATGTTTAAACAAACACACACATACACACCTAGAAAGATGAGTGTTCAATGCTGTGCATTACCTGTTATTTGCTATAATAAAAATACTACCTATTCTATGTATATATATCTGTCTAAGATAAATATTTGAGCTCTACATTTTAAATTCTGCATGTTCATAATAAAATATCTACCAATATATTTTATATGAACAATGATCAACTGTTTATTATAGTCATTTATTCTACATGTATATAATAACTGTTTACTAATTAGTCTTATTAGTTTAAGGAACAGTTTTAACTTTTAATATGCATGTACCTACTAAGTACTTAAGTAACGCATGGACTTAGTTCTAAAACCAATAAGAAACTTATTTTAGATTGCTATTATAAAGTGACTTATTGGACTAATGCCATTATTCCTATTAGATATAATTTGAATCTAGTTAGACAGTCTAGTGTCCATAATAATAGAGCGAACTCACTTTAGATAATTGAATTATAATAAAATTACGGGTATTAAGTAACACATATAGGTACATTTTAACAAATTTTAAAAACGAATACAGAAATCTGAAGAATAAAAATTATTAACGTAATATATTATACATTATTAAGTCAAACACAATATATTTTACACTTTTTTAAATTAGATTAAAGACAATACAGTAAGAATACATAAAATTAAATTCAAAATGAAAATACTAATAGATAAAGTTACTGTATAGGCAGGTATCTACATCAAGAAATACGTTAGTCGAAATTAGTACACAGGTAGATCAATAAATTTCGATATAGTAGTGCTAAATATGATATAATACAGTATGTATGTAAGTTTTTGACGCATAGAGTATATTAAGTCTTAGTTTTACGCAGTGTTATTATGCTGTTAGTGTTATTTGGCTCGCCCAAGCTCTCTTCAACCTAAAATGATATACTCCGAGACACTCACCTAGAAATCTGCATCGTCACCTGTAAAAAGAGAAATATCTTTAGTAAATAGGTAGGTAAGTAACTGTAAGTCAGTGCATATTTGGATAAGTG